CAGAATTTCCTCCAGATTGTAAAGACACAGCGTAAGTATCAGGAAGTAAATTGAATAGTCAGGCTGATACATGGCTGTTTGTTTGTGCAGAAGCAGAAAAGACAAAATAATAGTGCTATTACAGAGGTAAAAATTTAAAAATTGTAAAATTAAATAATGTAGATTATTTTGGAGAGGGTGCAGATGAAGCGCATCTGATTAAAAAAGGAGGAGGATAGTGGAATCCAATGCCTGAAGACTAGAATGCCAGAGTTGGAAAGGAAAGGACCAGATTTTTTCCTTATCCTTGATATGTCCAGCTTGCTAAATGTCCAGGAAGTGCTTGTCTCAGAAATATTTATTTCACATATTAATTCAAAGAGTGTTGATAGTATTATATCACTGTATTTATATTACTGAACAGAACTAGCTGCAGTGTAGTTTCTCCACCTGTAAGATGCCAACTTAATCTATGCATTTGGAACAGATTTTTTTTTTAAGAAATCATTGAGCCATGAAAAACAAAATGCCATCATTCAGGTTCTAATGATGTGCTACCTGATTTTACATAATGGAGGAAGAAAACAGCATTTCCTAGGAATCTTTGACTGACCACAGGCAGTCTCTTTGAATTAGATGTCAAAACACTTTTGAACTCTCTCTCTTCTGCTTGGTCAGGCATAAGCTGCTGTGCATGCATATGCTTGGACATATAAAGAAGTGCAGTTATTTGGTGCAAGACAAATTGAACAACATTAGCTGAACAGCATTACTTAAGATTATTTAAATTCCATTAACTATCGTAGACATATGTGAACTTAATTCCTGTACTGAAAAATAAATTACTTTAAATAATTTCAATAGCTATATACTCTTTAAACCTCAGTACAGTCTGAAATGCATTTTCCCATTCTGGTTGCTTTCTGTATCATTTCCTATCTATAAATGAATCAATGTTAGACTAAGCAAGCAAGTAAAAATATACTTTTGTGGACATCAGTGAGAATATTATTAATCCTGGTGGGTAAAGCACGTAAGATTTAATTAGGAATAGTTCTGCAGCTCTTCCCATTAGTCATTTATGATAATGGCTCTGCTCTTGGGACCTTCTATACCTACCACATAAACCTTGATTATAAATCACAATGCATCAATAACAAATTAGTAGTATAAACATAAAATTGTGATATTCATAAATAAATTTATGAGCAAGACTACAAAGGACCTTACCTAAGAAGCAACACCCAGATATAATCGGTGTTGCTTAATTAAGTTACTATTTTAAAGTGTTTCTGGGCTCTGAGATAGTGGCATGCATACACACAAGCACATGAATAACTGCTTGCATGATTATAGTCTCAATTTGAAACCAGTAAATATTTGTAAACGAGTTATCTTTTATTCTGACCCCCTCACAGTAATGTTGATATTTATTGTATATATATTACACAGTTTCTTACAAAAGGCAGAAAAGCCTGGTTTTGGAAGGCTGAAAGACATTTATTTTTACATACAGTGAGGTAATTGCCTAAAAGTTCTTGAAGATGTTTATTCAAGTGATAGGATGCAACAGTTCTGACTTCAAAGGAGGCTCCATATGCCTTCCTGTTGTTCATACACATTCTACCAGCACAGACACTTAGGAGCAGAGGGGAAGATATTTAGATTTCATTTCAAGCACAAGCAAAAGGGCTTTCAAATCATTTGTAACCACAGGTACTAATGGTGAAAAACTCTGCTAAACTGTGAGCTTAATCTAAAAATATGTCTGCAGCTTGGTTAAATTGAAAGTATAAGAAAATCTTAAAAACATTAAATAGAGTCAGAAACATTCCTCTGTTTTCAATATCACTAGATAAAACTCTTAGGCTTTGTGAGGCCTGACTGTGAGCTCAGGCTCTCAGGAAGATCTCTAGTATTCGACTCAAGATCCTGTGAAGTGAACACTGGGAATGTTTCCACATTTTTTCTGTGAAGGGCCTTTAGTGAATGGCGGTGGGTAATGAAGGAATGGTTTCTGGGCTTCTGAAGGAAAGTGCTACAACAAGCTGCAGGACCGTTGAGACCGGGCTGCTCACACCGTACTGAACAGTTGTTCAGCTGACGTCTGGTGGCTGTGTCTTGTGGATGGACTGACCTCACATGGTGGTCGCTCCCTGCCCAGCTCTTTTTGTGGAGCAGGGCAGACTTGCACGTGCATGTGTGCTGTCTCCAGTCCTTCCAGATTTTGGAAGCATTATCTGGAAACATTCCTACTCCTGAGGTAAGTGAGTCCCTGAACAAAGCCAGGGGCCAGCCTGAAGGGTGAGATTTGTGGGAGGGGAAAGACGTTGACAGAATTTTTTTCATGACAGAAACGCACAGTGTAGTTTTCTCAAGGCTGTGTTACTTGGTAGGTGAAGCATACTCCTTGAAAGTGTTTATGAATCTATTCCTGAAATAATAGGGCATATATTTGTAAATATAATGTATTTCATTATTATGTACACCATAAACATGCCTGCTTACCTTAGTTTCTAATTTCATTTTTGCAGTGCTCAGCTCTTCTTTTATTTGGTTAATTTTTTCATAGCTTCTACTTATGTTGAATTTAGCTGCAACACAACACAAACCTGTAACAATGCGGGCTCAGTTTGGGAAAGTTACAGTCTTATAAAAACATACCATTGGCAAGAAGCAGCCAGCCCAGCTGCCTGCTGAGCTTTCACTGACTGAGCTCCCCTCATGACAGCCTGTGGGCCACCCTGCTTTTCCCCCAGAAAATGGAGACGCCATTAAGTGTGGCGAGCGCTGCCGCCAGACCCACAAGATGGAGGCCATGGCGCAGACCTTGTTGGATGAGGCGCCTCTTCTCCCCTGCCTGTTTCTCTGTCAGCTGTATTTGCTGGAACAAAGCATCCAGGTTCATTTCTCTCTTCTTGCGGAGTCTGTGGGCTCCCTGGGTCTTTCTGTCTTTGAGGAGGGCTGGGTGATTAAAGCTGGGATGTCCTGGAGGAAGGTGAGGCTGGGCCCGGGCACAGCCCTCCCCTCAGGGCTCTGTGCCCTGCCACGCCTTGGCTCTGCCCTCTGGCCTCTGCCTTCCTAGGGTTGGGAAAGAAACTCCAGACCACAGAGGGAAGGAACCATGGGACACGGCTGAGGAGGAAGAGGTGACAGAGTGGGACGTGCAGGCTGTAGAAAGTAGGGGGGCGAGAGCGGCCCTCAGGCCGAGGGAAATGTGGATGGCTGGCTGCGGGAGCACACAGGGGAAACATGGGAGATGGAAATGAGCAGGCAGAGAAGCAGCACAGTGGAGCAGGTGAAAGAAGATAATTAGCTACCAAAAAGGCAGCTGACACTCTGGTTCTTGTCAAATTTGTGTACATTTGTGAAATATTGGTTCTGACTCAAGGTCTGGGGGATTGTGATCAAACAGCTCTGACTTTATTTCTCTGGGACCACATGCTTTATACGGGTTTTGTGCTGTTCAGAAGCTGATCTTTTTTTACCTCTTCCTTTTTCTATGGAGTGATTACCATCCTTCTTAAATATTTTATCTGCTCAGATTTATTTGTCTTGTGAAGATTGATGCCTAAGCTCATCAGTTAAAGAAGTAGGCTAAAATCTGCTATCATACAGAAGAAGATGGCTACATAAAGCTGACTACATAAAACTTAATGGTGATCAGACTTAACTCAGATGCATTTCACTGTTAACGTAAAATGACAGTGTTTCTGTTCCAGTTGGTCTCAGTAAGCAAAGATCATAACACAACCCACTGTATGCTCTTCTGGAGCATACTTGTGTGTGAGTTTACTATGCTCTGAGCTTCTGCAGCTTTCTAGTTGGTGCATTACTGGATGGTATACCTGGAAATGTAAATATCCAGTTGAAAATATAATTCATATTGTAGGGTTTGTTACTACATGTTGAAAAGGATTAACTACATTCCCTGCAAGGAATACCTTTGTGAAGTTGGCCTATTTGCTTTGAGGCAGAAAAAGCCTGGAGGAATGGAACTTTATACCCTTCCAGCCTTTTTAACATTGAAAAAGATTAGCATTATTGACAATCCTGTCTTGTTAAAGAGTTTTCCTCAGAGGAGATACTGTCTTAGAATAGACTGCTGCAGCAAAGTTCAGAAATTAGAAAGAAAAAGTTTTGACCACAAAAACCAAAACAATCTACATGAGAGTACAAATGTCTTATTAGTGAAAAAGCCATTCTAAGTTAATGGAATGAAACTGAGAATTCTGGAAAAATGTTATAGCATTTGCTGCTTAAAAAGAGCCAAGTGCGAGCTGATAGTGTGCTAGAAAATGGTGCTTTTTAAAGGAAAGACATTGCTCTATCTGAGAAAGAAAATGTGGCTTCTGATGAAATTTAAAAACCTGAAACTAGCACATTATGTTGCAGGAAATGCAATTATTTTTTAAAAGGGAACAAAGTGCAACTGAAGCAGAAGAGTTCACAAAAGTGAATTTAGAAAATGTTTCAGAAGTGAAGCTTCCTACCCAAAGGCCAAAGGAAAAGCGGATGAGTCAAACAGGAACATTTGGTGATTGAGACAGCGATTTGTTACACAGGTCTGATGAGTGAAAAAGTCATTCTATGAAATTCAAGAAAATGAACTGCTCTATCAATGGATCAAGGAGAAAATAGAATGAAAAGCTGTCTTTGAAGTTTTTGAGACTTGACTGCTTTTGTGTTTCAAGCTGAGAAAGCTGCTGTAGGCTGGGATAGTGTTCAGCGTCACTTATTAAAGAAACGACTGTGTTTTGTGGAGGGTGTTTCAGTGCCTCTAATTACAGCAAAGGAACTGCTCTCCCTAGAAAGAAGAGTCTGGCTCCAACCATACTTCTCACTGTCTGAGAATGACCATTCAGTGCGATTAACAGTTCTGTAAAAGAGTCCTTCAGAGACCAAAAAAATTCAAAGTGGGACAAGTGTTTACCACTAAGCTTCATAGCTTTTGACTCCTGCAGCTATTTGCCATATGTTTGATTTTTACATGGTAAATAACTCACAATAATAACTCCGGATTGTATAAAGTGAACCACGCATGTGAAACATGTACAAGTGCTTTCAGAATCAGGCTCATGGCCATTACTGCAAAGGTGTATAGTTGCCTGGCTCCCACAGAAATGCATGAGATGGTATGAACCTAAATGTTTCAAAATAAAAGTAAAATGTGATTTACCTTTGCTCAACTGCAACTTTTGCAAAGTATAAGATCTTTTGTAAATCACTAGCTGTTAGAAAGGTGACTTTAATTTCATTCTGTGGGTCATATCAGTACATCCTAATCTTAATCTATATCTGTATCTTAATCACTGTGCTGTAATCAGGTCATGTCTTTCTAGTGTACTTCAAAATTAGTAATTGCCCTTTGCAATCAGGCTTCTGTGCTAATAGTAAAGTTTCTTCCACAAGTTTATTCTCTAGTTTGTGTAGGAAGAAGAAAAGCAGGATATTTTTTGTAATTTCAAGTCACTATAAAAATACTTATTAGTGTATCTTATTTCTAAATCATATACACTCAGATTGTTTCAAAAATTGTTTTTCTGAAAGCCAAAAATGTAAGAGGCAAAAGTAAAGAAGTAGGAGGGTAAAGATTAGATGATGCAATATGGTCTTCACCATAAAAAATATATAGTAGAAACTAGAAATTATAGGAGTGTTGTTATGACTAGATTTCCTCTTTTGTTCTTAATCACTGTTTGTATTATTTTTTCCATCTACAAACTATGCTGCTTACTTTTGAAACGTTGTATTTACAGCAAACCTTCTTCCCGAACTATATCTCCTTGGTCTTCCTTTGCTCTTGGTGGTCATTGTATTTGGCGTCTATTTTTGCCCTAACTTTTTTCTACCCTATGTGAAGGAATAAAGCCAAAGTATTCTGTTGTAAAAATTTACAGCCATCATTTTGTGTTCAGTGCTGAATTCAGAGCTATCTTCTACTGGGAAACAGAATATATATGTGTGTGTGTGTGTGTGTGTGTATTTATAGATAAAACAAAGAGCACTAACTACTTGGAACACAGTATTGAGCAGCAATACTGATGGAGAGAGACCACAGACAGTGAGAAACCCAGTAATTATTTGGCATAAGTAAGCATAAAAAATAGCAGACTTATTCAAAATTCATTTTATAATGTGGCTTTTAAAATAAAAGCTTTAGCTCTACTTTAACTTCATTGTTAAAAAACAGCAAGCAGTGAAAAGTGGTAACGTGTAATAAAGGGGTTTTAATGCAAACCAAGAACATTTTGTCTGGTTGTTCTCCCCCTCCCACTGGCCACCCTTTGCACTGCAGGGAAGAATGGAGCTGTTTCTGCATCTTCCATTGCCCGTCTCCTGCCCAGGTTGGGTGGCATGGTGGCAGCACAGGAAGAGCAGAACAAGCACTTGATGGTCCCTGCTTGAATATATCTGAGTTCCTAGTAATAAGCAGAAAAGAAAAAAAAAAAAAAACACCAAAACTCAACTACTTCTGAAAACCTAGAGCTGGACAGCAGAGAAGATGAATATTAAAATGCTGTAGTAAACTAAAATTTACAACCTGTCTCTCATTTCCTGAGTAACAAAGGTTAAACACAGTCTAGTTATAATCTCTGGAAGAGTGGAAGCAAACTGACAACCCACAGGCTGGAAGCTCTCCATTTCTAGTAGACTGCTCGGCAAGGGACTCATAAAGGACACTCTGTTTCCTCCCTGTAACAGGGACGAAATAAACTAAAAAAATCCATATAATAAAATACAAAATAATGGGAAATGTAGAAATAAATCCCTGGAAAATTATATGCATATGAATACAGAATGTTTCTCTGTGCCCCAAATCCTTGTTTTTTCAGGTGACAAAATTGTGAGTTAGTGAAAAGCCAAGTGTTTATAATGTGTTAAAAAACACTAAGAAGTAACTTTGTACTCCCCCAACATGCCTGGCTGCAATGGAGAATTAGCTATACTCTTCTCCATTTTGGTAGGAATGTAAACAACTTCACAACAGATGTTCTTTATAAGGGTAGAGCCTGCTATTTGCATCATGGTATCTCCATTTGAGTCTTGTATCCAGGATTCTGTTTAATTCCATCTGGAAAGGCTTCACTGGATCCCTCTGAGTTACAAAAGCAAAGATTACTCTTTTGTGGTTTTAAATCTAAGTTTTCTACTGTCTTTGGTTATAATCACACATCACCTGCTCTCTTTGATGAGTGGTAACGATGCTGTTAGATAGATATCCACATTGTTCCTTCACAGTGTTTTGGAGCCATATATATTTCAGTTGCCTCTTTTACTGGATCTAAGAGTCTATCCTAAAACTTTTTTACTCTGCTGTTCTGTAATATTTGGATAAGTGACAAATGAGGCTCTCATTTTGAAACATTTATCAGAGCTCTTATTTATCTTGGCATGATGATAGTAACTTTTCTAATGTAAAAAGAATTTTTCAGATCTGGAGTGCATATCACAGTGCAAAGTGCTGCCTTGGCTTTGCATTGTCATAGTAAATTTTCTTAATTATTTGGCTGGAAAACTGCAGTTTGCTTTATATCAATACTGTTTATAACTAAGTTGGCACCCAGCGGAAGCTACAACAGAAAGAGTGAAAAAATACTTTTTACATTTTAATTGTTTGTATCTTCCATTTATAAAAGAGATTGGCTTTTTTATTTTGTATTAACAGAAATGTAAATGAATTATCCATTATGTTGTAATGTCCTATAAGATGGTGCCATCAAATCTTCTGAAAAAAGGACTGTTAAGGAAACATTCTGAGGACTGGGACTTCCCATGCAAGAGGTGTAATCTTGGATTGAAATTCATTAAAAAATCTTTTTAAAATACTTCATTTTAATCATTATGTATGGTGTGTTTCCTATAACCATATAATGCCAGTACGCTAGCTTATCTCTTTTTGTCACA